CTTCCATAAATTGCAATTCAAGTTAATTTTATCAAATAAATCTAAAAATTGAAGTTTGAAAGAATGCACATGACTAGAGAATTTGTTGATTTGTTCAATGGCTAGCTAAATTGAGAAGTAAATATATTTTTATTAATTATTCTTCTCTTCCAAAATCAAAGCTATTAGTTTTTATAAGGAAATTGTTTCATTTGTACATTACTAACTTTTAAAACAATCTTCACAAAATAATCTATCTTCAAACCGTTATTTATTATCTAAGGATAGATAAAGTGAAGAATTATTTTGATGCTAACGGAAACATTTCAGAGAGCCAACATCCATCAGATTATTTGGTTATTACATAAATGATAATTAATAATTATATAAATTATTCTAAAACTTTAGTAAATATATAATTAGTATTTAAATTCTTCTTAATACTTTGATATGATTTCTTAAACTACCAATGAAGCAATAATGGGTTCATATTAAACAGGTAAGAGCGAACTTTTTAATTACAATTATTATTCATTATCTTAAATTATTTCACAAGTAACTAAAAGAACCTATTGTAAATCCAAACTGCTTTCATAGTTAAAATTTTTCAGTAGTTTTCGAAGATCATTCTCTTGGTAAATTGACTAAGCGAAGTAGATTGTTTTGAATAATGTGTTTAAGCCTTTTTATAATTCTTTTAATTGTTCACATGTCTCCTACACATTAAATCAGATCATAATCAGTTTAAGCAATTCTACATATAAGAAATTCAGAATCTGATTTATAATCGAAGAACTTTACAATTTCTTGAAAACTGGAGAAAATTTCATCTATTCCCAGAGAGCCAAATAAAGAAGACATAAAGTTAAATATAAGCTACATCGACTTGTTCGAGTGATACTGTTTTTAGTTTCCTTTTCTCGTTATAGAATTTCACTTACCCCTTATATAATTATGAAATTCCATTATTTAAAAGTTCAATGTTACCAAGTAAAGTGCTTTATAACAGGCTCGGTCCAACTTATCTAAATTTCTCTGGGGTTAGTTTACTAGTCTTTAATAAATCGATATAGGCTTCTTGAGGGTCATTAAAATCCATCAAAAATAATGATAGTAAAGTTATAAAGTTTCTATCACAAATCACTATATTTTACAAGTGATTATAGTGGATCAAGAAATCATTGCATAAATTAGGTTTGAAATTCTAATCAACATGCAACTCATAAAATAACTCGGATATTTAATTTGTTTCATTATCAAAAATCCTGAAAAAAAACAATTTGCTTGACATTTTAAGTTACAAATTTAAGGACTTTGAATATAAGTTTATGCAGGTTTTAGCCTTTTTTTAGTGCTTTTTGATGTCAGAAGAACTCGGGCATATTCTCATTCATAATATTTACAGAATTTTCGATTTTCAAATTTTAATGGCATCCTAAAACTAAGACATCATTTTACTGTTATAAGCAGCAATTTTAGGTCTGTTCAAACAACAGTGCAAATGACACCATCACAAAATATCTAAATCTCTACCAAATTTCTATGTAGATTAAATAATTTTGTATCTCCAAAATAATTATTCAAGAATTGGTGTTTTTATTTGTGATTACGATGTCTATTGCAAAAGGACCTCTTTTTGACAATCAATGTAGATTAATAAATATTATTAATTAATTAAAATATTAATCTTAACGATATATCCACAATCACAACATTCTCCATTTGAGCAATGATAGGTCACTACATGATTTTATGTAAAATAATAATAATACTCTAATTTTTTTTGGAGTGTAGCATTCTTAGTAATTTATATGATTAGGGTTTTTGCTGCAATCAAAAATTTGTAAAACAAAACATTTTAGAAGGAGGAGCAGAACGAACAGTTCTAAATCCTATCCTATTGAATCTGATAATCTTAACTTCAAACTCCTATTTGATCAAATTTAGGACCTAATATACGAATTCAAAATTTTGTTTTCTCTCTTGTGAATTTGTTGTATTCAAATTAAGTCAATCAACGTGTAAATATCCATTTAGATACTATTATCTATCTGCTTATTATTTATGTAATAATTGTTAATGAAATTCATTTATCTTATATTATGATTATTTTTATATAGAAAAAGTCATAAGTATTTTACTAATTTTATGATTATTGCATAACATTATTTGTATTTTTTTGGAATTAAATAATTAGCATGAAATTTTTCTTTTGATTAATCTCTATCAATGCTCTTCTATAGAATAAATTGAAGAGTTATTCTTTTATTTTAATCTAAAGATTAATATTCAGTAATGTATATTAGTTGAATACTGATTTTGCTTTCTTAATTGAAGAGAGAAAAACAAGATTGAGAGATGTTTTTTTAATTTTACTTTTTTTGTTCATCTAACATATTTGAAAAATGATCCTGAAGAAATTATGATTTCAAAATTAAATTACCTGGATTGTAAGAAAAATTTGAAATTAATTATACTCACAAATAATTAGAATAAAAGGCTCACTTGCCTTGCTTGTCAGAAGTCAAATAATCAATTTAAAACTGACGACACAAAGCTTAGGTGAGAAAATAATTGATTTCAATAAAAAAATCCTTTAAAACAACATTAATAGCATTATTAATGGTAGAGTTAAATATCTAGTCTCTAATTTAATATACACATAAAATTAAATTTGCTTAAAGGAAGATACTATGTCCTCTATAAAGTTTTCTATATATTTTTGTTTTAAAGCTTCATCGAAAATGGAAACTACCAGTTCCTGCTACGCTCCCCATTTAACTTTCATTAATATTTAGAAAATTATATACTATTTAAATAACTATTTAACNTAAAGTTTCTATCACAAATCACTATATTTTACAAGTGATTATAGTGGATCAAGAAATCATTGCATAAATTAGGTTTGAAATTCTAATCAACATGCAACTCATAAAATAACTCGGATATTTAATTTGTTTCATTATCAAAAATCCTGAAAAAAAACAATTTGCTTGACATTTTAAGTTACAAATTTAAGGACTTTGAATATAAGTTTATGCAGGTTTTAGCCTTTTTTTAGTGCTTTTTGATGTCAGAAGAACTCGGGCATATTCTCATTCATAATATTTACAGAATTTTCGATTTTCAAATTTTAATGGCATCCTAAAACTAAGACATCATTTTACTGTTATAAGCAGCAATTTTAGGTCTGTTCAAACAACAGTGCAAATGACACCATCACAAAATATCTAAATCTCTACCAAATTTCTATGTAGATTAAATAATTTTGTATCTCCAAAATAATTATTCAAGAATTGGTGTTTTTATTTGTGATTACGATGTCTATTGCAAAAGGACCTCTTTTTGACAATCAATGTAGATTAATAAATATTATTAATTAATTAAAATATTAATCTTAACGATATATCCACAATCACAACATTCTCCATTTGAGCAATGATAGGTCACTACATGATTTTATGTAAAATAATAATAATACTCTAATTTTTTTTGGAGTGTAGCATTCTTAGTAATTTATATGATTAGGGTTTTTGCTGCAATCAAAAATTTGTAAAACAAAACATTTTAGAAGGAGGAGCAGAACGAACAGTTCTAAATCCTATCCTATTGAATCTGATAATCTTAACTTCAAACTCCTATTTGATCAAATTTAGGACCTAATATACGAATTCAAAATTTTGTTTTCTCTCTTGTGAATTTGTTGTATTCAAATTAAGTCAATCAACGTGTAAATATCCATTTAGATACTATTATCTATCTGCTTATTATTTATGTAATAATTGTTAATGAAATTCATTTATCTTGTATTAAACAATTATGATTTTTTTTATATAGAAAAAGTCATAAGTATTTTACTAATTATATGATTATTGCATAACATTATTTGTATTTTTTTTGGAATTAAATAATTAGCATGTAATTTTTTCTTTTGATTAATCTCTTATCAATGCTCTTATATAGAATAAATTGAAGAGTTATTCTTTTATTTTAATCTAAAGATTAATATTCAGTAATGTATATTAGTTGAATACTGATTTTGCTTTCTTAATTGAAGAGAGAAAAACAAGATTGAGAGATGTTTTTTTAATTTTACTTTTTTTGTTCATCTAACATATTTGAAAAATGATCCTGAAGAAATTATGATTTCAAAATTAAATTACCTGGATTGTAAGAAAAATTTGAAATTAATTATACTCACAAATAATTAGAATAAAAGGCTCACTTGCCTTGCTTGTCAGAAGTCAAATAATCAATTTAAAACTGACGACACAAAGCTTAAGTGAGAAAATAATTGATTTCAATAAAAAAATCCTTTAAAACAACATTAATAGCATTATTAATGGTAGAGTTAAATATCTAGTTTCTAATTTAATATACACATAAAATTAAATTTGCTTAAAGGAAGATACTATGTCCTCTATAAAGTGTTCTATATATTTTTGTTTTAAAGCTTCATCGAAAATGGAAACTACCAGTTCCTGCTACGCTCCCCATTTAACTTTCATTAATATTTAGAAAATTATATACTATTTAAATAACTATTTAACTTTCAATGTCTTCTGCGTTTCATATTCATATCGGAGGGGCTGGAGTAATGATTGGTGATATGTTATGGAAACTTTATGAAAAAGAATACAATGAAGCAACTTAGAATAATTATATTATGAAGAAGTTGATGGGAATCATTATCCATTAGCACTTTTCTTCGATACGGATGACAGAATGATAAATGAAGTCTAAAGGAATAAGACAGCAAAATATAAGAAGCATTCATTTGTACATGGAAAGAGGATGCATAAACTTTTCCTCGAGGTTTTTACACTGTTGGAAAATACATTGCATTTGAAGCATTAGATTGCATTCGAAAATAAATAGAAACAATGAATCGATTAGATGAATTTGTGATTACAAGTTCAATAAGTGGAGGAACTGGTTCTGGATGCTTTACTCAGTTGTCATATCTTTTAAAGAGTGAATTTGGAGTAAAATAAAATGGATTTATAATTTTCTCATCTTCAGAGATGTCGAATACTGTTGTAGGAGTTTATAATGCAGTTTTCTCAAATTCTTTTATGACATAAGAATTTAATAGTACACAATGTTTGACAATTAGTCAATGTACAATGCTATTGATTATCAATTACAAATAGAAATTGTTGATTATTAACATTTAAATAATTTGGTGGCTCAAGTAATTAGTTCCTATACTGGATTAAGAAAATTTAACAATTGTGATAATTCCAAGTTTTTTTCAAATTTGTGTCCTTATCCTAGAATGCATCATTTAATTCCATCGTATGGCAAAATGACTTTAATAAATGAATTACACTAGAACAGAATTATAGCAAACGTAATTCATTCAATATCTAACTAAAAAGGAATGTTAACTTTATCAAAGTCTGCTTAATCCTCGTCATATATCTACAGCATTATTATTAAGTTAAAAATAATTGAACCCTTTTTATGGTTAATTTGATGTAACTCTAAACAATATAGATCTTTGTTTTGGCTAACGTTCAAATATTTTTATTGTGCATCCTCTAATTACTAAGTTTTGCCTGAACTTGCATAAATGAAATAATCTGGATCCTTTTTTTCTAATGATGCCTCAATTACTAGTAGATTTAAATAATTAAGAGAGAGCTTTAGTAGTCTTCGCAGAAGAAGAGCTTTTCATTATTGGTATGTTCGTGAAGATATGGAAGATGACGAGTTTTGTCGAGCATTATACGACTTAGAATGTTTAGAAAAAGATTACAATGAAGTAATATCCTCGAATAATCAATAAATTCTGAATGAAAAGAATGATGAGTTGTGAACTTAACATATTATTTTATGTCAGCTTGCATTAAATAATTAAAGTTCAAAAAGTAATTTCTCACCAAATCTTTATAATACCATTTTATTTTTTATTCAAGAAATTGAATTTTAATAGTCATAATTAATAATTAGGGATCAAATCTTTTCAATTTTTATTATCTGTAGAATATGATCATGTGAAATCAATTTGTTGCTGAACCAATCAGAATTAATATGATCCTTTTCTTTGTAACAAATGACTTTTATGTTGAAAAATTACATCTTATTAAGACATACCTATGTTTAAATTTTTAAATCTACATACCCATTTAAATATCGAATTCAGTTTATGGGGTGAAATTTTCTTAATAGGTTTATAATAAACTCTGTTAATATAAATCTATTAATTAATAATTTTTTTAACGAAAAATGGTTAATACTTTTCTATTTCTTAAATCTCTATCTAATATGTTGATTTAAAATTCACCTCAAACTTTTTTGTTTAATTATGTTGACATATGTAAGAGATTCTATATTAAAGTGATTTCTTAGTTATTTTTCTGTCTTCTAAGCCTTGATTATATCTTATTATCTCGTTAAAATTCTTATTCCTATATCCTTCATTATATTCCGTTTGATGAATATCTTAATCAAACTTAATAAGTTTTCTCTCAGGATTTTTTTATTACAGATTTGAGTTTGATTTAATTAAATGAGTACCTCCCACAAGATCCTACACTCTACAGGAATTACTCATGACTAGACCCTCGATATTTCTTGGGAATAAAAAATAAACAAGCATATCTGACTTTGCTATTTCTAGGAGATCTAATCAAAATTGCCTTGAGATTTAGAGATAAGAGATAAAAATAGTCTAGCCATCTACTTGGACAAGGAAAATGGCTCAAGAGGTATATTAGATAATAACAAAATGGAACTTTGGGCATTATTTTTGAATTCAACTTTTAAATTTACATTCTGTTAATAAGTCAAAATAAAGATGTGATATAGTTATTATGATATTATCTGCATTATGAATATGGATGTCATAGAATTTTAGGGTAGTATTTAGAAAATTCTAAATAGATCATGAGCATCAAATTGCTCCACTTTTCTCACTCTAATCCTGTTTTTTTTTTAAAGATTAATTAAAATT